TTTCTAGAATGTAATATCATCAATAAGCTTTTATCAAGGTGATAGTTCAAGCTATCAAATAAACTTCATTGTAGGTTTGGGGAATGTAGCTCAGTAGGTAGAGGACTTGCCCAGCATGGTTGAAGTTTGATCTCATACACTTAATAGTAATAATGATAATATCACATCATCCTGTGTATGATAGTGCTATCTATAATTCTAATATTCTGAGTCCATGATAAACATAGTTTAAAATTAACTTGATACGGGTTCTGACTCAGCTTCTCCTTTTACCTGAACTTGAATCTAACTCTGAAAGACTGAAATAAACACATGTATCACACTTAACAGATTGAATGAACTGGTGATGGGCTGGTTGGCTAGTAAACTTTGGACACTGCTCTTGACTAGTTTACCATAGTTCAGAGGCCAGTTCAAAGCTTAATAAACGAACACCAGAAATGGGCATCACATGTCTTGAAATCCTAGCCTTTGGGAAGTAGAAACAGGAGATTTTGAGGTTGAGACCAGCCTAAGCTATACTATTTTATCTCACAAAACAGACAGAACCACACAAAGGACCTAAAACTCAGACTCAGAAACCTGAATCCTGAAGCTTCTTAAGAGCTTCCAACAGTCAATCTGACTTTCAGACTAGACTATAAACCAAGGTCAAAACTCAAATCCATACATTCATTCATATCCATATCCATATTTGTTTATTCAACAAATATTTTTTGGCCCTGCATGTGTTCTAGGTAATGAACTTTCTTGTGTCATTATGTTTAGTGCACATTTTGGCAAATGAGTTTGACAAAGAATATCTCATATCACCAATAGGTGATAAAGGCCATAAGGACAATAGATGATGATACAGGGGGTAAAAGTCAGGGGTGGACAGGAAGAGTCCATGTAAAGTGAAAATTTGAGGAGATCCTAACAGCCTGAGAGGGTGGGTTTGGACCTCCATCAGGGTGTGGCTCAGAGCTCAGCAGGCTGCTAGAGAGTGCTGGGTTCTGGCCTCCAACTACCAGAGGGCCTGATCACCCAGGGGACTGCCTGACAGCCCCTGGATCCTGCCTCCATGTTGTGGTCCTTTTAATAAGAGGATGCTATACAGCAGACCCTTCTGCATGAAATAAGTACCATCATCACAGCTTTGGCTGAGCCTGATCACTAAACATAGTCACAATTGGGCTTGTTGACGGTTGTGCTCATTCATTAAAGGAGTACCAAGCAGGGTCACTGGACCCTCACCTGAGTGTCCAACCACTCTTCCCAGCCAACTAGTCCAGCCTTGGAAGACAAAAGAAAAATGAGGAAGAACCCAATAGAGGGATGCTTTTGGAAGCCCTTGTCAAGAAACGCCAAAGAACTCTCATATGAACATCGGAAAATTGCCCTGTTCTGACTTTTTTCTAGTTCCCTGTCTAGAACTTGTAATGCCAATTACTCTTGCCTTTACTTCTCCTTCACATATCCTATTCATGATTCAAGGACTTTCTTTTTTTCTCCTTAGAAACAGGAGTTATGCAATTTGGGAGTCTTTTAGATAGACCCACTGAAGGGGTACTCCAATTGCTTCCCCGTGTCCCCATTCAGCATGGAAGAAGCCAGAGCGGTCTGCATCCCTATTCCCTATTGGCAATTTGGGTAACCCCTTCAGAGGATGGTGTGATAAGAATTGGAGGTAGGAATTGGCTTAGCAATTAGGGTAAAAAGACCCCAAAGAAATGTAGCCAGTTTCTGGGCTAAAAGCCAAAATGTCCTTGGGCCTGTTAGCAACACACTCTGTTCCAAAGGCCCAAAATGTCAAAATGTCAAAAGTATTTGGGAGCTCGTATATAATCCTTAAAAGATTTTAGGGTTACCTCTTAAGAGGGGGTAATGTTGGAGGGGAGGGAGTGGGCATGGATTTGCTCAAAATACCTTATATGCATGTATGAAATTCTCAATAAAGTTTTTGTAAAAGTTAAAAAAAATTTCCTGAAAAAAGTAAGTTTGACAAGAACAGAATGAAAAAAAAGTGAAAACTTGAATCACTTAAGGTCAGGTTGAAGTTTCAGGGCTCTGAAGACTATCCCCCCTTAGACTGTCCTAGTATAGAGTAGCTCAGCCTTCCATAGGCTAGAGTACACTTCCAGACTGTTATGTTTTGAATAGGAAATGACACCTCTCATATATGTTTGAGCATGTGGTATCCAGCTGGTGGGCTGAGTTTGGGAGGTTGTGGAACCTTTGAAGGACTGCCTAGCTGGCAGAAGTGGATTGCAGGGGGCAGATCTTTAAGGTGATAGCTGCTTCTGGTTTGCCCCCAAGATCTGTTTCCTGATCTTCTGGTATATGAACAAGCCATGCAGTAAGCTCCCACCTTCCTGGCTAAGCTGCCCCAGCTGCTGTGCCTTCCCCACCACGATGGAATGACATCCTTTGAAGCTCTTAGCCAAGAGAAAATCCTTCTTCCCTTAAATTGTTTCTGTCAGGTATTCTGTCACTACTACAAGAAAAGTAACCAACACAAAGATAAATAGCACAGGACTTTCTATGGAAGTTAACTCACTATTTGGAGGTTGGCTGGTGAGCTTGGTATCTGAACAAGCTACTAAAGCATTAGTGATTTAGAGCATTAGTCTGAGCTAATCTCTAGCATGTGTCTGTATTCACATGCTAGAGTCATTCAGAGTCACATTCAGAGTCATTACCTGCCATACATCTTTGGCTAGGGCTAGGACAGTGTGATGGTTTGAATGAGAATGTCCCCCATAGGCTCTGAGTATTTGGACATTTTTGTCCCCAGTTGGTGGATCTGTTTGGGGAGGTGTTAGAGGGTGTGGCCATGTTGAAGGAAGGATGCCACTGGAGGCTGGCTTAGAGAGTTCCTAAGTTTTCTGGATCTCGAGCAGCTCACTTGCTTTCTGTGGCTGTTTGAAGATCTGAGAGCTTAGCTTCCACTCCTCCAGTTACCTCTGCCACCATGCCTCCCCACCATGATGGACTCCTGCCCCTTTGGAACTGTAAACTAAATAAACTCTTCCTTTTATAAGTTCCCTTGGTCATGGTGTTTCTATCACAGCAACAGAAAAGTAGCTACTACAGATAGACATTGCCAGCTTCTATGTAATTCATATCTAGGATACACTGAATGAGTCCTGGTTCCCTGATGAGCTGGATGTCCTGGTAAGTTCCTCAATCTCTCTAATTCTTTTTTAAAAAAACACTTATTTGTTTATTTGTGTGTGTGTGTGTGTGTGTGTGTGTGTGTGTGTGTACCACAGCACACATGAGGAGGCCAGGTGACATATTGTGGGAGAGGTTCTCTTCTACCATGTAGGTTCTGGGGATGGAACTCAGCTCATCAGGCTTGGAGGCAAGCACCTTTACTTGTTGAACCATCTTCTCACCAGCCCCTCTCTTTATAAAGCATACCAGTCCAGAGAGATGGAAGTTTACCAAGAGCATATAAACTGAACATAGTTTTGTTGTTGTTTTCTACGTCTTCCTGCTGCCATTTTGGGTGGGCCCTCGTGGCTGTCAGTTAATTTGATGGCTGTAAATTAATGAACCTGTGTGGACAATTAGTCACCAATCTGTCTTTACCCCCTCCTCCCCCATCTCTGGTCTTTTTGAGACAGAGTCTCCCTCCAGCTCCAGCTGAACTCACTATGTAGACCAGGCTATCCTCAAACTCACAGAGATCCACCTGCCTCTGCCTCCTGAGTGCTGGGATTAAAGGCATGCACCACCACACTCAGCCTATCTTCTCTTAATATTTCTAATCACCTGGGTCATTTTCCTTTCTCTGATAGGACCTATGGCAGAGGCAACAGCTCAGAAGTAATCCTGCTAGGCCACAGACTCAATATCCTGTGCTTGTTCTACTGGAGAAATCCTAGCAGCCACACATACTCAGATGCTCAAAACACAAGGCAGTGTTTCCTCAGACTAGAAGATGATGGCGAATTTCAGGAATCATCAAATCACTCAACTAATGAGCTAGCTCAGGATCTTAAAAAATACACACCCAGGTATTGATGAGGTTTTTTTTTTTTGTGTGTGTGTGTTTGTTTTTTAAATGCATCTGCCTGTTTTCACTTGTTCATTTTTACTTCCATGTTATTTCAGAGCATTTAATGCAGCCCATAAGTCAATGGGTAACAGCTTACAAGAAAACCCACTGTACTTTTCCTCCCATCAAACATTGCCATTACTTGCTGCTCCCATCTCTCCTCACATCCTGCACCGCAGAAGTAGCACATGCACTCCCAGCAGTTGGAAGAAGCTCGGATATAGGTCAGTCTGAGGTCACATCTTAATAGCTCAGGCCACCTGGCTCAGGTCGTGAAATAAGCTGGGGTTCAGGGTTAGGGGCACACGCATAGCCCGGACCCACCCCAAACTAGGGCCCCTCAGCAGTAAATCCGCCTGGCATCAGGTCGGGGCTGGGGGAAATCCACTCCACCTACACGCAGGACCTGGAGGTGTCAAAATACCAGTCCAGAAGAGAAGGTCAAGTGACTTTATCAGGGAGCCCAGGGTAAAGAACAAAACTCTCCGCGGGCTCCGGGGAGGTGGCCTTCGAAGGGTCTGGGGACTCTTCCTGCTCAGGGTCCCTAACAGCGGTGACAGGAAAAGCGCCTCGATCTGCCTCTGTGGGGTGGGTGTCGCCGGTGTGTAAGACGTTCACAGCTGACCTTGGCCCCCTAGACTACAAGTGCGTAGGACTCCCGCCTCCAGGCCCCGCCCCAGGAACCTAGGCCCCGCCCCAAAGAGCAGGCCTCGCCCCTAAGACCCTGTCCTGAAGGCCCCGCCCACACACTCGGGCCCCGCCCCCAGGCCCAGACCCACGTGCCCAGCTCTGACACGCATGCCCCGCTCACCTCCCTGTCCGTCCCGCCCCGACCCCTCAGTCTCCGCCTAGGGCCACGCCCCTTCCGCTGGCTTATCACCTGAGGCCGCCCAGCGACCGGCCTCCCTCTCAGGCCCCGCCTCTTCCGTCAGCCCCGCCCCTTTCTTCCTGCGCGTGCTTCCGGCCGCGTGTGTTTTTCCGTTGGTCCTGTTACTCGCCGGCCTCTTTGCTATGGACACCGCCAAGAGGAAGGCCTTAGGCGGCCGGGGCGGCGCGGCTTCCCCTGAGGGCACCGCCAAGAGAGCCCGCCCGGAAGAGCTCACGGGCGTGCGCTTTAAGATGCAGCTGAAGGACCCGCCGGGCCTAGGGCCGGGTGAGCAGGGGCGGCGGGCCCAAGGTGGGAGCCGGTTCCGGGCTGCGGGATCTGGACCGCCACTGGTCGGGGATCTGCAGCCCGGCCTCTGGCCTGGGGGATACGGAGGCGCCAGCCATTGGGCGCCGGGGAGCCCAGTACTCTGCTGGCCTGGCTTCTGCGGCTGCGCGTTTCTCTTTGGGGCCGCGGCCCTCCCGGAGCTCCAAAACCTCCCCATTGCAGTTGTCAGGAAAGTCAAGGAAGGGTCCTGATTGACGTGGTCGCTGGCTGTGAGTCAGCCCAGGTCGGTTCCCCCTCACAGCTTGCTGTTCCCTGGGCTGTCATCTCAAGCTGTGCTCCCCCAAACTACCACTAACAAGCTCCAGAAGCCTCCACTACGCCCTGTCAGGGGACTAGGACTGGACCGGTGACAGAGATAGACCAGATACTGTGATTTCATTTCACTTGTGTAACGTGTGACTATGCTACACAGCTACTGATAGTTCAGAAAAATATGTTGGTTATGGGGAAACCCACCATGGAACATGTCATCTAAAAAAAAGACGAGGGGCCAGAGAGATGACTCAGCAGTCAACCAGCTGCTCTTGTAGAGGACCTGGGTTCGGTTCCCAGCACCCATATAACAACCAACAGCCGCCTATTACTCCAGTTCCGGGATTATCCACCACTCATACACATAATAAAAATCAAGCAAAGATAATGAGAATATTTCTCTCACGTTAAATATATTATTAAATTAATAAAGTATCCTCAACTTCTCATTTTTCTCTTGTAGTTTTAAAAGCTATTGTATTTTTTTATTCCTATGTGTATGAGTGGATTGCATGCATGTATGTAAGTGTACCTGTGTTATGCAATGCCCATAGAGGTCAGAACTGGAGTTACAGACCCTTGTTAGCAGCCATATGGGTGCTGAAAACAGCACCCGGGTCCTCGGCAAGAGCAGCCAGTGGTCTTAACTGCTGAGTCATCTTGCCAGCCCCTCTCTTGTAAGTTTTATTTTTAAATTTTTGATGTCTTTGTTTGATAGTTTGTACTATGAAGATGATACCTATGTTAGCCCAGAATTAAACAGTTCACTCATTTGTTCACTGTTTAACAGCAGCTGTTATTTGGGGTAGAGATAAAATGGGCAAATAGAAATCTAACAGACCCTGCCATTATGGGTCTTACAGTCAATTAGGGAAGACAGGTAATCAGTAAGGTCACATAGCCCTTCCAAAGGAACTGGCCATGCCTGGTGCCTAAGGATGCCTCATGGGTCTTGGATCTGGAAGGTCAAAGAAGGCTCTCCCAAGGAAGTGAATTTTTTTTTTTTTTTTGGTCTTTTTGAGACAGGGTCTTCCTGTAGCCCCAGCTGTCCTGGACTTGGCAGTGTAGACCAACTCACAGAGATCCATCTGCCTCTTATGTTGTAAGTGCTGGGATGTGCCACCATGCCCAGCTGTAAGGAAGTAGATTTTCAAAAGAGTTGTAGGATGGAATAAGGACAAAAGAAAAAGTGAGTTTAGCTACTGAAAAGCTGTGTTCATATTTCAGGATTCAGTTAGAGAGCATCCATCCTGCCATTCAACTAGGGCATCAGCTGCACAGGTGTCAGCAAGACTGCTAGGTTTACAGCTGATAGATATTGTGAAGTGTTGAAAGATCTGGCAGAATTGTAGTCAGTGGGTGAACAGTGGGAATCTCTTGTATGAGGCTGCTGTCGATTTTTGTTTGAATCTACTTTCAGATTTTTTCCCTCTCCTTTCCTCTTCATATACTCTTGACTTCCAGTGCTAGTAACACTGAAGATTACAGATAGAATTTGATGGTGGATGTTAGGGAATTTTCTTTTTTATGTAGTGTGCTGGATAGCTTTAGTGTCAACTTGACACACCTGGGTTGAGGGAGCCTCAGTTGGGGAATTGCCTCTATTGGATTGGCCTGTGGCCATGTCTGAGGAGCATCTTCTTGATGAGTGATGTGGGAGGGCCCAGCCCACTGTGGGTGGTGCCACCCCTGGGCAGGTGGGCCTGTGTTGCATAAGAAAGCAGGCTGGGCAGGGGCCAGGGAAGCAAGGCAGTAAGCAGTGTTCCTCCATGGCCTGTGCTCCAGCTCCTGCCTCCAGGTTCCTGCCCTGAGTTCCTACCTTGGGCTCCCTGATGAACTGTGACCTGGGAGAGGAAGTCACAAGTTAAAATTCCTATTGATTCTTCATGTAGGAGAGGAGAGATTTAGGATTCCATTGGCAGATGGTGCTCAGTGGACCAATGTCAGTATTAAAGTGATGATCAATGAGTTCTAGATCAAGAAGGGGTTTGCTTCAGTCTAGTTCCTTAAAAATATTTGCCCCTTTACTGGTGATGGAAAAGGTCAGATTATAAATATGACTATGCTAAAAGGTTGAACTTATGATCTCTTGTCTCCACATAGCTCCTGCGTTCACCATTACAGTAAGGGCTAAATCCAGTCACCTAGATGTTCCTGCCAGAGTTCTTCTTGTGTCAGAAAGAAACAAAAACTCCCCCAAACAACAAAATAGATACCTTCCACTGTCTGGCCATAAGTCAGAGAAGAAGGCTGTAGGACTGCCTGGCTGTAATAGTCACATAAAGACTTGGCTAGTAAGGCCATTACTGTTTTATATTTTATTTCACTGATAATGATTGTGTTTTAATAAAGATAATTAGTTTCTTGTTTTTTTTTTTTTCAAGTAATAGTCTCTCCCTAAAAAAACATTATGGTCCCCATGAAGATGTCCCAAATTTAACTTTCTATTTTCATGAGTCTCCTACCAACCACTATGCCTTGCTACCCTGGTTTGGAGATGTGTGGTCTGAAAAGGAGAGCCAGAGAGGGCAGCTCTGTAGACCCCAGATAACACAGGAAGAGCCTACGGGAGCAGACCCAAGGGGTGGCTTCCTTGGTAGTGTAGGGCCTGTGAACTGAGGAACATTGTTAGAAGAAGTGTAATTGAACCTTCCAGCCTTGGGGAGGGAAAGTTTTTGCTGAGGCAATCTGAGGTGACCTAATTGGGGAACACATGACTATAGGATACACACGCTTGGACTTTGAAGAGCACCCAGGTCTACTGCAATTCCTGGTGGTATCAGTAGGCCAGACACTGTGAACACACAGTACCTGGTGTAGAATGGCAGTAATCACTTCTGTCCAGTGTGGGAATTGTTGAGCTTCTGAAAGGAGACCATGGGCCCTGGAGCCAGACTGCCTGAATTGAGGCCTGGCCAGGCCACTTGCTAACTGAGTGTCCTTGACAAATACCTCAGTTTTCTCATCTGTAAAACAGAGCAACAACAACAAAACACAAGCACATGGGGCCAAAGTTTGTGGTGAGAATTAACTGAGGGAACATAGGAAGAGCTCTTGGTAATGTTCCACTGTCATGTTATAGATAGTTTCTATTCACAGATGAGAATATGGCAGCTAAGGGGTACAGTGGAGTGATGGCTAAGAGCCAGGATTGCGACCTGTCTGTCCACCAATAACTTCATTCTTACACTGCCTTCATCATTTGGAGTGTTTTTGGAATGTCCATGTGGGTTCATCTGCCAGTGTTACTGTAATAAAACACCGTATACTGGATGACCTAGGCAACATGTTTGTTCTCACAGTTCTGGAGACTGGGAATCTAAGATCAAGGCATAGTCAGTTTGAGTGAGGGCTCTTTAACTGCATTGCAGACAACTGCCTCTTGCTGTGTCTTCACATTGCCCCTCCTCTTGAAAGAGGATGACTCTGATGTCCCTCCTCCTCTTCTAAGGACATCAAACCTCTGGGATTGGGGACTCATCTTGATGACCTTATTCATCCTTAATTGTTTCCTTAAAGATCCTCTCTCCAAGTACTCTTGTAGAAGTTACCACCTTAACGTGACCTTCATGGAAAACAGTTCAGTAGGTTCTGTGGCTCTGCAGGTGTGAGCGTATATGGGGTCACAGACCAAAGAAGCAGGGCACAGTAGTGCCTATGGTGTTTCCTGAGGAGACCATCCTTGTTGATCTTTAACTTGACTCTTATTTCAGCCTTGGAAGCTTTTGTGTCTGCTGCCAAGCAGTTGCCACAAGAAGGCATGTTTGATGTCGTGGAAGGCTACATCAAGATTTCCATGGAATGTGCAGAAATTTTCCAGCTCCTGAGTGGAGAGAAGAGGCCTGAAAGTGAAGTATGTTATTCCTCACCTACTTGATGAAGAGAAGTCAAAGCCGCTGTGGTGCTGAGCCTGGCGAAATATAACAAGTCTTGGGCAGCACCAACTTCCTTCAGAAAGTGATGTTTTATTCCAAGTGCTTTCCTCTGACTTTTGAAAGCATTTTGGTGGGAAACATTAACTTCTTTTTAATATTTAGTAAATAATTTCATAAGTCAGGATTATAGATTCTTAAAGTGTACTTGGTTTGCTTTAACAGCAGAGAACTGCCTTGTGTTACAGACTCAAAACACGTGGAATTGATTGGCTCCAAAGAGCTTGAAATTGGGGATGATTTTGAACTTGTTCTCAGGGCTACTATTGTTCTGAGGCTGTAGAACTGACTGTTCCCAGAGTGGTGAGTTTCGATCATCAGTAGAGTTTTGTCCTTTGATTTTATGAAGCTGTGAGCTGGCTCTTCTCAATTTCTGGTTCAGAGCCTAGGTCTGGCAGGTGAGGCTGTTAAGATGTCACTTTTCTGCCTTTGTTATTTTTGGCTGAGAATCTGGGAAGGCCTAACTGTGCATAAGATGAGGAGCATGGGTATGAAGGAGGGAAAGAAATGAGATTATGCATAGTGTTCAATTCCACCTTTGCAGATGCTGTTAATATTCCAAGTTTTAGAGGCCATATTACTGCGGACAGCCAGTGATCTTTCACATTTTCATGTGGTGGGCACCAATATTGTAAAGAAGCTGTTGAACAGCCACATGAAGCTCATCTGTGAGTCCCTGTATGCGTCGGGTTACAGGTGAGCTTCCTGTTGGTGTGGTGAAGGACTAGCCTTTGGGTTTGGTCTACGTTCAGTTCTCTCGGTACATTGGAACTTTGCCTGTGCTCTTTAAGGAGTGCTGAGTTGTTTCTGAAGCTTTGGTCTCTGCCCATCCTTACCCTGTGATGGGTAGGACCCATTCTGGGTTCTTGCACACTGTTTTCTGCTGCAGTGTGCTGCTGTGTATGCTGGCTTGGGACTCATCCAGGCATGCCTTATATAGCCTGTCCCGCCTGGGCTGTCAGCTACAGGCTACATCTTCCTCCGTACTTTGCAGAGGAAGGACCCCGTGAGGTTTTCACTCACTATCTTAGTTCAACAGCATTTCCATTGTCCTTTTCTGTCCTCTTAGTCTGCTTTAGTTTTCAACATCTAGACAACTAGTGCAGTTGACCCAGTAGTCTATAACTGTTGACTGTCATTCTCTCCTAGAATACAAGATATGTGGGCAGAGGCCTTGTGCATCTTTTATCAGCCTGCTTTCCCAGCGTCTAGAATAGTCCCTTGCATGCAGCCACCGATTCTGAGTACCCTCAGAGTAGAAAGTCATCCAGGAGCTCACATTTGAAGATATCTCTGTGAAGTTGTCTTCTGTGTCCCATAAACAGTAATTGAGAAAACATATTGTTTACTTGAGAAACAAAATTTTCATCTTTCCCTGAACTTTTAGCTTCTTTTGAAGTTTTTGTTATCCTTAAAAAAATGGGGAGTGAGGGGGTATGTGAAGGAAAGAGCATGGATGCTTCCTTCCTTTTTCTGGGTTTGGGGAGCAGGTCCTCCAGCAGGTGTGCATGTGGCTTCCTAATGAGGTAGCATACACGTCTCTTCCTTTCTGACATGCTGGTTTCCTATCACTGTGCAGGATGGCACGAACCTGCCTGGACCTATTGACAGCCATGGTGACCCAGGGTCCTGAAGCTGCCAGAGATGTATGCAGCCTTTTTGATTTGCACAAAAAGACCTTATATACCCTGGTGACCAAGAGGGATTCAAAGGTGAGACCCCTCAGTGTTCTGCTTGTCCACACCTCTACTCCCTCGCAGGGCTGAGGAGGTTTTTCCTCCTCCCTTGTGTTGGTCCCACATAGCTGGTGAAGGCACCCTCTATGAAGAGGGGAGGCCCACCTGGCTGACGTTGGGGCCAGTGGCCCAAGAGAACTGAACAACTGAATATCTGAGGAAGATCTGGGCCCAAGTGAGGGGGAAGAGGTTGACTGGGTGGCACAGGGCTTCTGAGTGAATAGAAAAACCTTTCTGTGCCTCACAGCTGTGAGTTTATACACTGTCCCATCATGTTTACTGTGAAGACTCTTGACACTGTAAGCCAGTGATGTGCAGATTTGGTTCTTGGGGCTCTGGTAAGTGACTTGAGCCCCTCAGTTATAATCTAGTAATGGGCAGGGGCTAAATTATGTTCCAATGAGAGTGGGAGTGGGAATGCTGGGCTTCCAGGAGAGCTGTGAGAGAAAGCCCACTGCTAGCTCTAGAGGTGCCACTCGGGTTTGGAAGAGCTCCAGTGAAGAAAGCACAGAGAGACTTCTACGCTCCCAGCATATGGGCTGACAGCAGGTTGTGGAAATGCCTGTTCCTGCTTGCTGAATTTGATGTCTTGAGGGGACACAGCGAAGGCTAGTGTGCTCCCGTCCTCCTGAGCATAGGGCATAGTAAGTAGGTATCACTCTGTCTGCCAAGTTGGAGAACCATGTTGGTATAAATCACTTCTATAATAACATGTTAGTCTTCTCAGAATTCCCAAGAATTAAGAGTTTCTTAATGGCTAGGAAATAGACTGAAGGCTTAATAATAATACCAAGTAACTTTTATGGCTTTATGAGATTAGCTGGTATTGAGGGTTTTACTGGAATTACAAATAAGGTAGTCTCTGAGGAAAAAAAGTCTTAGTGTCTCTTAGATATGATGATGCTTTATTAACATGTCAACAAATTCCCTTCAGTGCATGATGACTTTGTACATTTAAATGCATTTCTAATAAAAAGAATGTGTGTGCTATTTGCACAATAGGGTGTATAACATAGTTCTTTGGCCTTGACTGACAGTAAGTCTGGCAATAATTATCAGGTTCTTTCTCCCTTTTACCCGTGTCTTTCTTGACCTCAGTTATACCAGCCATCTGAATAAAGTAGATTTAAATACCCAGGCCACCCACCAAGCCCAGACAACCTGGGAAAGCCCAGCTAGAGCCTCCTTTCTGAACCCCAGCTGTGGCAGCTGGTTCATCTCAGGCTCTAGGGGCAGGCTATTTTGCTTGCCTAGGATCTGTAAAATGGCGCTCCTGTCAAGTTGAAAGTGTTTGTACTTTCTTTGTGTAATCTTCCATGTCAGCTACCTTAGTTAATTTGTATGCTATAATCAGCAGTGTCCAGACATTAAGGTTTTTCTAAGGAGACATTAGAAATAGAGTGGTACAAGGAACCCTATGTTCTAGCTTCAGCCAGTATCAGCTGCCTTCATTCACTTGTCGCCCCGCCTTTTCAGTTGACTTTTGTAGCAAATCCCAGATGTGAGTCATAGTTCACTATAAATATTTCAGCATGTACCCTTAGAAAAATGTCTTCAAAAACAAAACCGCATGCTGGGCATGGAGGCTTGTTCCTTTAATTCCAGCCCTTAGGAGTCAGAGACAGGTGGATCTTTGTGAGGTCAAGACTAGCTTGGTCCACAGACTTCTAGGTGAACTGAGACTAGGGAAAAGCTTTCCAAAAAAAAAAAACCAAAAACCCCAGAATACCATTATTGTACTGTCACCATTAACAGTTTCTCGCTGAATACCAGCCTGATCTCTGGATTTTCCCATATCAAAAAATATTTTTTTCTGCTTCATGATTCAAATCTAGATCCAAACAAGGTCCTTACATTGTATTTGGTTGATAGGTTTGTCAATTGTCTTTAAATATCTTAAATGTTTTGAGTTTTTCATGCCATTTAATTCTTGAAAATGGGTAGCAATTTGTTTTGTAAGGTGTATTTTAACATTTGAGAGGGAATTATTATATTCTAACAAAAGTAGATATGATAATTCGTTTAGCCAAAGAAAACAGTGTTCAATTTCTGTGCCAAAGAGCAGCTTTGCCAAGTGTGTTTCAGTCTATTTTAGAAAGTGTTTGGCAGAACAAGCTCTGAAAAGTTCAGGATGGTTCCTTCCTGGGCTAGCAGCCCTGTGAGGTCACAGGGTGGGAATGAGGAGCAGGCATAGGCCCTCCTTAAGTGGGAGTGGGATGCCTCTGAAGGAGAAGACTGGAGAGAGCTGGCAGCCTGTGGTGGTAGCCAGCAAAGAGTGGATGAATGCTGTGTCCCTTAAGATTCATCTGTCTAGTTCCTCCAGAGTGTAGGAATGCAGGAACCTCAGGTTTGGAATTGCTTGGAGTATATAGGATGGGAAGCAGCAGGTGATAAGTATATTCCTTTTCATTTAGAAATTAGTTATTGGTGGAACCCACAGGAAGATCTACCCCAATTCTGCTGTATACAATCAGGCTAGAAAGGTCTAGAGTGACAGAAACTGGGACTAGGGGTTCCAGTGCCCTAACTCTTGGTCCATACTTCAATGGACCAAGACAACAACAACAACAACAACAACAACAATAGGTTTTTGAACTAACAGGGAAAGAATAAATCCAAATAGAACTTTTCCAGGAAAACAACAACAACAAAAACAACAACAACAACAACAACAATAATAATAATAATAATAATAATAATAGGTTTTTGTACTAACAGGGAAAGAATAAATCCAAATAGAACTTTTCCAGGAAAACAACAACAACAAAAACAACAACAACAACAACAACAATAATAATAATAATAATAATAATAATAGGTTTTTGTACTAACAGGGAAAGAATAAATCCAAATTGAACTTTTCCAGGCAAGTTTTAGCATTTGCCAGCGCTCATTCAGTGAACTATGCTTAGGTAGACTGATGTACTTGAATGATGAGGCCTCTAGATAGTTGGGAACAACTTCTGCATTAAGCTTCCTGATGACAGAGATAGGATCGAATGCCCTTGGGGTTTGTGCAAGCTAAGTTGGAGATGAAGGCACAGAAGAGTGGCTGACATCCTTAAGAACGCAGCTCATTCTCAACACTACTTATAAATGTCCCCAAACTCCACTCCATATGGTAAAGATGCCCACAGGGGTGGGGTTCCCAGAGCAGAGAGGATTGTTTGAATTTCTGGGTGCATTTGGAATGCATCGGCATTGGTCTAGTAAAGTCTGCTGACATAGATGGAGACAGACTCGATAAGAATATCAGACATTGCAGGGCTTTGATCCAGGTATTTGGGAGTGGAGAATGGGTATCTTTTTCTTCTACAGAAGAACCATATACCAACAAACCAAGACAGAATTGATTACATACTTGCACAGAGGATGCAAGTATTAAATACTTGCACCTAAAGGATGCCCAGGAAAAGTGAAGTGCAAAAGCCACAGGTGCCCCAAGAAGGGAGCACTTCTTTATGCTTATACACCTCAGCTTGTTATGACAGCTGAATGACACGATGGGTCACTGTTTGCCTCAGTGCCTGGTATGGAGCAGGTGCACAGTAGATAGTTGTCATCCTTGCCACCGTCACAATAACAGCCACCACCTCTTCAGCCACAATGAAGGGGGCAGAATGATCTGGAGGTCAGGGGTGGCCCCTTGATCTTTGCAGGCATTTGAGGCAGTATTACCCTATGTATTAACTTCCTGGCACTGAATTAAGGTACCTTGGAATAGCTGTGAATTGGTGAAAAGTTTTCAGTTTAGGTGGTGGACCATCTAAGTGCATGTGCCATTTCTAGAGCAGATAATCAGACTTACGCAGCCATATGCCTCACCTTGCTTATGGTGATGGGAATTTACCTTAATGACATCAGAAGGGAAAACTGATCAGATGGACCTGGTGACTTCTCCAGGAGCACTGGCTGGTGGTCATGACCTTTGTGCCCTACTGCCCTGGGTCATACTGATGCCTGTTGGCTGTAATCCTGGGACATCCATCCTGGGCTCATAACACAAAGCATGTGTGCTTTGGTTTCTGATGATTTAATAACTTACTTACAATACCTAATGAAAACCAGACATGACTACATTGGCTTCTCATCAAAGCAAGACTTTTTCCATTATCTCTGGATTTTCCAAAACATGATAGATTATTTTCATTAACAAGCAAGAGAAGATGGATCTCAGCAGACTGAAGATCTTTTCACTATCTCAGAGTGGCCTGTGAGCTAAAGAAATTAATGTGTTAAGTCAGAGGAAGGGGTACAACTGTTTTTAGCATACTTTTAAATTGAGAATAGAACTTAGAAGAGAAGGAAAAGCAGAGAAGACTTAAGGAGTTGGAATACAAGAAAACCCTTTGCTTTCCGTAAAGAGTAAGGGATGGTTTCATGTGTCTATGTGCTGATGCCGGGAGACAAGACCATAAGGCTGATGACCCTGAGCCAGGAGGTATGTGGGTATCTCCTATGTTCATGTCTCCTTTGGCTCTGTGTGTGTAGTACATATCACATGCTAGTCTCCTTTGTCCTCCAGGGAATGCACGATGTCCGGCTGGCCTATATCCAGTTTGCCCTGTCCTTCTTAATTGCTGGTGATGACAGCACTATAGGGCAAGTGCTAGAGCTGAAAGGTATATGTTCCCCTTTGTCCCTGGGAAAGTCTGTAGCTGTTTAGAAAAACCTACTGTAGTTTCTTCCAAAAGTCTCCAACCTTTGCAGCTGCTATGTGTACTGCATAAAGGATGGGTACAACAATGAAGCTTTGGGCAGGGCTGTGTTGATGCCACTGGTCAGTATTCCTTTGAGACTGCCTAGAATGACAAAGGTCACAGCACACTGTGGTTTGCCCAGTGTTTTTCAATTTTCTTTTACAGAAGTTGTATATGCCCACTAAGCACATATGCAGCAAATAAAATAGTAGTTGCTTTGAATGCTTCTTGCCTGTGTCACCTCCAGGTCTGGTGGCCATCTCCCTGGCCACGGAGAAGTGTGAGGCAAAAGCAAAAGGCAAATAAATGGCTCCCTCCAACCCCAAACTCTACCGCAAACCAAAAAAGTGATGGCCATCTTTTAAAACATATCTCTAAGCAAGTCTAAGCAGGAGAGAAATTTAATTTTAAAGACTTATCATACTGTCTACTGTCTTTCAAATATCAGCATTAAGTTGATCTTACTTCATATAGAAAATGAAAGTCAAATGGAGCAAAGTACTGAGCTTCTTAAAAGTTCTGTCATTGTTTCTCCTTTCGATACTCTTCATTTTGCATGTTATAAAACTGGTTTTCCCTTTTGTAAACTTTAGTGTAATTAGAAGGACAAAACTTTTTTAAAAAAAAGCATTGTTTGGTCTACATTTCAAAGTACCTCTGAGTTTAATACGACTTTGCAACCTCTATTTTCAGAATTTATTCCTTGCATTTTTAGCTCAGGCATAAAGGAGGATAAGATTTCTACCATCAACATTCTATTATCCACACTGAAAACAAAGGTAGGTATCTGCTGGTCAACATGCCAGTCATTTGTTCTCTTTGTGAATGAATAAAGACATGATCCCCTGTATGTTTCAGGACTGAGCTTACGGTGATAAGAGTTTGGACAGCAGCTTTTCAGGCCTCAACTTGGTGGGAGTGAGTCCTAGGGCTAGAGGGTTAAAGATGAACCAGAACTGCAAGCAGCCTTGCCCTTTCGATACTATAAAAGAAAAGCTGTTGGTTAGCAATTCACTTTCACTTAGTCTGATATTTCAAAACTGTAAATGCATATAGTACTTCTGTTACACATCTGCCCAAGTGTTAATTTGGCTCACATTACATGTTCTGCCTTTTTCAAGTATCTTAGAGAAATTTTTAAACTTGGTAAAAAGACCATGACTTTATATAGAGATAGATTACTCAAGTCATCAGCAAACAAATGGATCTTCCCAAATTAAAAGTCAAAAGGCCTGTGTTTAAAAAAATGGTCAATAAACATGGAAAACACTTTAAGTAGTATTTAAAACATTTAATTCTCAGCTAGGGGTGATTTTGGCTCCCTCTTGGTCTAGGGAGACCATTTGAAGATGTCTGGAGAGACTTTTGACTGTCACAACTGGGAAGGTACCACTAGTCTCTAGTGGGGTGAAACAAGTGCTGTTGCTGCCCATCCTACAGTTCAGCCACACAGTGTCAGTAGAATGGAGGCTGAGAAACCGTGACTTAAATTAATGCAAATGATCACATGAGATTTTTTTTTTTCACCTACCAAAATAGCATTGCCCTTTTAGAACAGTGATACTCAGTGTGAGTAAAGATTCCAGGAAAATGAGTGCTTTTCTGGAGAAAGAGCTGCAGCCCCTAGGGAAGACAGTAGCTCTGGCACTGTTTCTGAGGTCTTATGTGTATTTATACATAGACTTACAGTGGGTCTCACTGGGTCTTTGCTTTAGAACCACCTGAGAATGCATTTGGAGTATATTACCTGGACCACATTGCCAGGGATTTGGGGGGTAGCTCTGGGTAGGGCTGAGAACTTGATCTAGAATTCCATTTGTGAGAATCCATGCTTGCTCCCTAGCCAGAGATGTGGCAGAGGCTTTGAACCAGACTGCTGATCATGGCTCTATGGAGGATAGCCTGAATGTGGGAATGTGTAAGATAAACACCCCAGGAATGGTTAAAAATAGTTCACTCAGAGCATAGAATGGTATTTAGCCACCCAAAGTGATGTTCTAAAGAAAGTTTTAATGATATGGAAAAAGTTATACCACATGAGTAAAGGAGGCATAAAGCCATATATAATCTCAGGGAAACATAGATGACTAGTATTGCACATGTGTATTGTGGGTGTAGACAGGGCTGAAAGGAAATACACCAAAATGGTAAGTGGGTATTGTAAGAGACTTAGGAATGTTGGTAAATTCTCTATTCCTCTTTAGATTTTCTCGTTTTTCTTTGGTAAGTTGTCTACCATCAGCATGCTTCGTTTTTTTTAATGAGAAAGCAATGAACAGTATTATAAAAATTGACTAAATTTCTTTTGCTTTGTTTTCTCATTGTATTCAGGTAATTCATAATAAAAGCATTACAAAAACCCAGAGGGTTCATTTCTTTTCAGCACAGTTGCTAAATCACATAGCCTCTCTCTACAACTGGAATGGGATCGCTGATGTGACTCCAGAAAACCCAGAGAACTCTGAGGTGAATCACTTGGGTTTGGTTGGCCTTGGCCTTGTGCGTGATCCTTATAGTTGGGAAAGAAAGCATCTCAGCCTACCCCAGACCTTAATAATATCTCCTCATCTGATCATTTCTTTTGGCTTGTGGTTATATGGTTAGATTAATTCTCTGTTAGATATAATTAAAGTTCTTTTACAAGAAGATTTATATTCTAATCTTAGAGTTATGAGAGTAAACCTATTTTTGTTTTTAATGAGAAAACAGTTACCTGCTCTGGCTGAGAGACGTGCTGACTTGACTACCTGCTAGGTTTAGACTATTTCGCTAAGCTCCATCTTCCTCCTCTAATTTGACCTTTTTTCCTCCCTATCATTTTTTTCATATCCAGCTTTTAGGCGTTTCAAACTTTTATTTCAGAATCCTGTCTAGAATACCTCACATTTTGCCTACTGACAGGGATGACTTATTTTGTGATTGTTAATTTAAGTGCTAAGTTAAAACAGTTGCTTTCACATTGGTCCAAGCCTAGCATTCATTTTGATTTTCCTTGGGGTGTTTTTGAACATGGATTTGGCTGGCGTAGCAAGGGCTCGATTTCTGTTAACTTTATGGTAATTTGCCTCTCTAGAGCCTATTTTACTTCCTTTTATCTTGGTGACTTGCCCATGTCCACTCGTTTCAAACATGTTTTTGTATGCTCCTTCACTAGGAAGCCCCACAGGCTTACTAAAAACACTCCTGAATGTGGAATTTTAACCAAAAACGCTAGACAAATTAAGTCAGCTTTAAGCTTTTAAAAATACAGGTTTAAACTTGCCCCTTTTTAGAGTATACCTTCATCTTGGTCAGTGTATCTGTTTCTTAGGGCTTCATTGATTTTGAGGTGATCCCAAGCATTGATCTGAAATGTTTTCTGAGTTGTCATTAGGCAGGTAATCTTGTCCTATTTTTTTATTATTCAGCTCTCATTAAGGTGACGTTGGAATTCATTAAGTTTATTAAACTTTCCTAGGTGTCTGCTGAAGAGGCAGGAAAAGCCATGGTGAGGGAGCTTGTCCATAACTTCCTAACAGATCTCTGTTGTTCTCGAAAGCATGGGATTAGTTTTTATGATGCCTCTCTGGGAACCTTGGGCAGGTAAAGTACAATGCTCTATGAACCCCATCATGTATGTTCCTCAAAAGTTGGCATATCCTTACTGTCCAGTGGAAACTAGCTAAATTATAGAATTGTGGTGGTTAGAGTTGGAACTGTGGACATCATTGAACTCATTTTAGGGGTGACAATGGGAGACCTTGAGAGTGTCCAACCCATTGATGCCTTTTGGGGCAGAGGCCTCATGGTAGCAATTTATTAGACATGGGTGATGGAGTGTTTCCCCTGGGGGAGGTGTTGCATGTATGTACTTAAAGACAGTGGTGTCACCTGGCTCTTAGAGTCCCTTAAGTCAGCCTTCCCAGGGAGGGAGGGCCTTTACATGGGCCTCACAGCAGTCTTGAGGTTTTTTTTAACCCCCGTTTGGAAGAAGAGGAAGATAGCCACAGAGAGGTCAAGACACCCCTGCAAGTGGTAGGGCTTGCACTCAACCCAGGAAATGTGATCCCAAAGCTGATTGTTGTAGTAGCTAAACATCCTGCTCCTCTGACACACTGCCAGTGGATAGGATGTCAAAATGTGAGTTTGCATTTTAATTTCCTGCTTCATAATTACAACATTTTATCGGTAGGAAAATGAAGTCCAAATATAATGGTTTTAATTAAATTCTTTTAAACTTTATTTTTGTAGTCAGATCACTACAATACTTACCTATGTTCTTTTTTTCTCTAACAAAGCAAATGATCAACACCCCCCTCCCCCCAATTTAATAGTAAAACTACTAGCATATTTTCTGGTCCTCAAAAATGGCTTATTTTCCTCCTCTTGGCTGCACAGCATTTCGTTTTAAGGATTTAGATAGTTTGTTTTATTTCTAGTTTCAGGAAGTCAGGAAATGATTGATTCTTTCAGAATGAGATAGTATGGTGGAAATTCTTCTGCCTGCAAGTATGGATTTGTTTTGAGATTATTTTGATTAAATTTGCCACATTACGTTTTTTAACTTTTCAAAAATTTTTTATTTCATTTTTTCCTGTGGTGCTGGGAATTGAACCAGGGCCTCATGTATGGGAGACAAGCACTCCATCACTGAGCTATATCTCCAGCCCTACCTTTGTAAAAAAAAATTGTTTCAATGGTAGTATACCTTTTCTTTCTTCAGAATGGACTCCTTTTCCTGCTCAAATGTAACTTGGGGCTTTTGGAATTTAATACAGTGTTGCAACAATGTTTAAAACATATGTATTCCCCCTACTAGCAGGTTTTCCTCCATAACTGGACCTGTGAAAAAGTTGATGGCTTAATAAGCATATTGCATCAACTCGAATGCTGGGGGTCTGTTTGGAATAAACTGTGGTTATGCAAAATTTTTGAAACCACTGGCAAACAAGTATTTGTGTTTAGGAGAGGGGCAGAAATAGTATTGTGGCTAGTATAGAAAAAACTGAAAAAGTCAGTGGCAGAGTTCTCCAGCAGTCATGAGACTCCTCCCCTCAATTCATTCATAGTGGTGATGCAGATGCAGCCGCTTCATTCCAGGGAGGCTTGTCCTGGTGCCTGTGCTGAAGGAGCCCCTCTGCTGTCACTGTCATTTTCCCTGCAAGGCTTCTGTGACTTCTCATCTTGCATAGTATTTCTTTGCTTGTTCATGATCTGATTGGTGAGAACAGAGGCTGGTCTCTTTGGCTCCCTGTTGCCTAGGATGGTGGCTACCATGTATGAGGTGTTCGTTGAAAGCAAGAGATAGCCTAGTTTCTGTGACTACCCACTGCTACTACAATGACACTGAAGTGTCCATAGACAAATCGGTGTAACTGTTCCAGTAAGTCTTTAAAGAAAGGTAGTGGGAAATAGTGTGGCAACTCTGATGAGCTGGTTGTCAGATAAGATTGTCAAATCAGACAGCTGGACTCTGCTTTTGACTTAGCTTTGGGACCTTGAGCGGGTTTCCCTATATTCTGCCTCAATTAACTCATCTGTAAAATGGGAATAAAATTACTGTCTTCTACAGAGAGGAGGCATACAGTAGTTGCCAGGAGTAGCACCTGGCCTGTGTTATGTACTACATATGTGCACCATTAATGTGTATAATTTTTATGTTTTATGTGTTAGTTAAAATTTTTAAGTAGCATAGGGTACTATTATTCAAGATCATAATTATTCGGTAACTGCCTGAGGAAGGAAGCAGTAAATTTGGGAGGAGTTCCTCCCTGCCAGTTTTGCTGTGTCTTTACAGTAGCTCTGGTTGCTGGGCAGACTGTAACTAGCTGGGGTTGTTACAGGATGACTGTCTTCTTTAGAAGTCAGACTGAACTCAGAGGAGAGAAGGACAGCAAAGAAGGGAGTGGGGCAAAGTAGAGACTTTTCAGCCATTCAAAAATAGAATAGGACATTAAGGCCTTTGGTGGAGCTCTGGAGCACCCTCAGGCCACAGAAATAGCCCATTTAGCTCACTGGTATATGACATGTCCCCAAGAGTGACTCCAGTGTGCAGTGTATTTGAGCTTCCCCTGCTGACCTCTGCTACCTTGTCTCTGTCCCCAACAGAGGAGGCAACCTGACACTCTTAAATTTCTTGTTGGGTTTGAAAACTGCGGCTGGGGATGATTTGGTGGCTGAGCTTGTCGTGAACATCCTGAAGGTGTGCCCAGACCTGCTGACCAAATACTTCAAGGAAGTAACATTTTCCTTTCTTCCAAGAGTGAAGTCCACTTGGCTTAATAATGTCAAGCTGCTAAACAAGGTATGAAGCACAATGAAATCTGCTAGCAAGGGCAGGGATGGTATGTAAGGAGCTGGGATAAGCAGATATCCTGGCCTGGCACACTGCAATATGGAGCCCTCTCTCTGGGGATAAGGGAGATTTTAGATCGTGTGACCTAGGTGGTCTTTGTCCTCTGATAGCAGTTTGCATTCTCATTGACCCAAATTTTATAATTTCTGCCTTTTCACGTTGCTCGTTTGTCTTCCTTGTGAGTCAGCACAGTTAGGCTGGAGCTAATGAAGTATCTGAAAAGGACCAAATAAAGATAGGTTTCATGTCCTTAGAACAACTTGAAATAAGTGATGAAATATTGAAGTGGAGATGTATTGACTCTATCTGTCACCCTTATCTGCCAGTGCAGGTACAGATCAAATAATCCCATTCCAAAATGCTTGAGACCAGGAAGGTTTTTGGAATTTGGGGGCTTTTGGATTTTGTAATTTGATTTTGTAATTTAGGGATTTTTTTACATAACCTTTGCAATACCTTTTCAGGCCTCAGTGATCCACCTGTGTTCACCTTCACGCAGCACTAGGGTTACAGGTCCATGCACAGTTACCCTGGCTTTTCACCCGTGTGCTAGGGATTTGAGCTCAGGTTCATGTGCTTGTGCAGTTCAGGTTCAAGTGTTGTTAGTTACTGAGCCATTTCTAGAAATCTGAAATTTGAAATGCTATCAGATGTGAAACTCGAGCATCATGCTGGTATTCAAAACACTTTGGATATGGGATTTGGGGGTCATACTTAGCATACATGGTTAAACTTACCATAAATTCGTAACAGCAATGCCTGGCTTGGTTAAGCATTCCTCTCTGATTCATGGCTTTCTTGATGCTGGAGTTCCTGGGATTGTTTTCTTGTACCTCAGTCTGGCCTGGCATTATCTGTAAAACCAACTTTTACTCATACATTATCTGGTTTTCTTAGAGCACCTACATATGCAGGCCTCAAATTAATCCCAGGCAAGAAGCATACAACTTGTCTTTGACCTGACCTAGGGAAGAAGCCCTGAAGCCAGCATCTGTCTTAGAAGCCACTGGAGGTGCTGCCCTGCCCCATGCTGCTGAGGGGGCACTTGTGTGGTTTTACAGCCTGGAGGGTGTCCTTACATGGTTTGCTTACTAGAGTGTGGTTAGTAATCTCATTGAGACCCAACGTTGGTACCCATGAAACATTTGCAATATTAAGTGTGCCTTTTCCATGGTATGTTCATGAAGCTTTAGAAGGATCATGGGACTTGTCAGGTGCCTGTTGGGACCAGCAGTGACTGGCAGGTGAAGCTGTTGTTTGTTCTAGCAGTTTGCACAGTGATATGTAAGTGGATTTGGGGGTAGATTTTCAAAAAGACTGCCCTGTGTGGCAAGTCTGACCTTCATCACTATAATTATTTAATTGGAATGGTGTCATTGTCCAGTGCTTACAACTAGAACTTTCTTCCATCCATACTCAATCCTCTTTGCTCCTTTGCTCAGATCTACGAGGCCCAGCCAGAGATTTCCCGGGCCTTTTGGACCAGAGAGTTCATCCCGTTGCCTCGGCTCCTGTCAATGGTGATGGTGACCACGGTGCCTCCAGTATGCAATAAGATCATGTTCACTCAGGCATTAAACGTAAGTCACGGGCTGCCCACCTCAACAGCTTTGTTCTGTGGAACCCTCTGGTTGTATGTGTGATTGTCCTGAGAATACCTGCCTGGCTGTGTTTGTTTTGTCACAGAGGCCCTGAGGCTTCCAGGACAGGGGCTTTGGCTTGAAATTACCAGCAAGGGTCAGATCCATTCACCTGGGGCTAGCTACTCCTTCCAAGGGTGACTGGCATTATGTCCTCTCTGCCTTAGAACACTGGCGGGGGCGGGGGGGGGCTCTGTCTCTCCATGCCTCTGTAGTCCTCCCTGGTGTAGGAAAATGTTAGAGGAAGGAGAGTTCCTTGTATTTCATTAATTCAAATTTTCATTACTTCAGGATTCCTAAACACAGTGTGGCAAAAACTTCTCAGCCAATCTTTTCTTTTTTATTCAAGTCAATAGTGTTAAGATTTCTGGAGAACATTTACTTTGAGGAGCAGTGCTGGAAGACATGTTTCTTGACAAAAAAAAAAATGATACTTAAATTTTGCATCATTACCAGATCGGAGAAATGGTTCAGCAGTTAAGAGCACTTGTTGCTCTTGTAGAGGACTGGAGTTCAGTCCCAGAACTCACATTGGGTGGCTCAGAACCATCTGTAACTCCAGCTCCAGGGGATCCAATACCTCTTCTGGCCTCCGAGGGCATTGTCACACACACACACACACACACACACACGTCTTTTAAAAAATTTCACGTCATTATTTATGGTAGAAGTTCCCACATCCCATCAAAAGCCATGCTCTGAGGAGTTCCTGTGTTTTTTACTATAGTGTCCTAGGCTTATATGTGCTGTAGTTGTTGACACATTTGGTCCTAGGTCCTGCCAGCCCATCCTAAGCCCAGGTGGCTTGATATCTACCTGGAGAGACTTGGTACTCTTGTCTCCATCCTTCCAGAGAGGCCAGGTGATTATGTGATAATGAGTAGCAAAGGGGTCATCCATGGTGCCCTGCACAGGTGTTAGTTGGCCTCATGTTGATGGGGCAGTCACTGTAAAGCCACTTTAAATTTGTGTAGATTCTTGGGACAGCAGTGGATTCCTTTGATGCCCCATCCAGGGTTCCTGCTGAGAGGGCAGTCAGGGAGGAGTAGAGAGAAGGCTTTCGTGGGACTGAACAGAAGGGACTTTTGTTCTCTTTGACAGAGGTTAATGTTTCCCAGGGGCCTGAGGAAGATCAGGTGGAAAGGAACACTGTTGGTGCACCTCCTTGGAGGGCTGTTTACACTTGCCCTCTGCTTAGTCCTAGAAGTCAAATGAAAGACTTCCCTTCCTCCTCTCAGTACAAAAGGGTTACACCCCTAGCGGGGTGTCCAGTCTCTTGAACTGAGTGGCTCTGGACTGGGTACACAGCTGTCTCTCCTTGATGGCAGCTGTCTTTTTTGTAGGCCTCAGAATTGTTGAGCTATACATAGCCTGTACCCTGTGCCTCCATGCCCTTCCCAAAAAACAAGGCATTTTTTCTGTGTGGGGGATTCTGATGTGAGTGGTTTCCAGAGGTTGTAGTTGTGTATTAGTTTTGTCTTTTATAAACCTTATTGTCTAAAACGCTTCTAACATAAATTTCAGAATCAGAAAGAGAAGGAATAGGAAATAAAGATTTGGAAGCAGAGTCTTGGGCTTTGGTTGAGCTCTGGGCTCACAGCCCTGTAGGTGCTGTGGGAACCCTTGTTAAGGCCTGCCTTTGAAGGGATTATAACATTGGAGCCATCCTAGGCTACTGAATATATCTCATATCCTCTTTAGGTACACAGCATTTACATAAAGTGAAAGAGAAGCTAACTGGAATGTTGGGGCACTAGGCTGTCATGGTTATTAAGCTAAGTCAGAAGGCCTGTTTCTGCCTTACTGTAAATCTCCACTTATGCATCCACAGCTCCACATACTCTAACATGTGGAATTACCTGGGGATCCTGGGAAGATGAATAGTCTCCCAAGTTAGTCTAGGGGAGACTCTACTGTGTACCAGAAACTTCCATCGTAGCTGATGAGCTTAGCCTGGTCAGGGCCTGGGCCCTTTTCTCTTTTCGGTAATAGCATAGATATCCTTGAGCTTTACTGTCTCTGAGGTCACTGAGGACCTTGACAACCTGAATGGAAGAGAAGTCTGGGTATAAGATGCCTATGATATGAGTTGCTTATTGTATTAGCCCATCTTTTGTTATTATAACAAAATACTGTAAGCTTTGTACTTGTGCATAAAAGAGTAATAAATTTAGCTACAATTTAGAAGCTCACAGTCTAAGAGTGAGTGGCCTCATATGTTTAGACTATGTCACATGCAACATGGTGGATGGACAAAGACTAGAATGTTTGTAGCAGGGGATGGGACCATATGGTGAGATAGGAAGCCAGAGGCCAGGGATGGGTTGGTTTATTTTTGTTTGCTTTTGAGATAGCATCTTGCTATATAGACCAGGCTGGCCTCAAACATAAATGATCCTCCTGTCTCAGTCTCCTGGATGCTGGAATTACATGCATGCATGTACCACCAACCCCTTACTCAGTTTTCCTTTTGTAACCCCCCACTCTCTTAGAAATTAACTTGAGCCCCAGGAGAGCTGCATTAATTCCCCCTGAGGATGGCACCCTCATAACTTAAGCACTTTCTACTAAGTTTTACCTCTTGAAGTTTCCACCATCTTATACTACTGTTTTGGAGCCAGGCTTCGAGCACATGAACCTTGGGGGAATGGATTATGTCTAAGCCATCACAGTTGCTTAGTGATCCTAAAGGTGGGTTGTAATCCCGAACAACATGACGCTTTCCTTGCCTTCTCTTAGCTCCTGCTGAGTGCTTCTGATGGTGAGATCTTATGTGGTTTCTGGTGAAATTCTTTGCTGTCCCTGCAGATATCTAATAGCTGAGTGTGTGTGTATCAGAAAAGGCTAACTGAGAAGCACATAAGATGAAAACCACTGTGGAACTCCACCTGTAGTACTGCTGAGCTCAGTTAGAAAGGATGTCTGAGAGGGCAAGTTCACCTTTTCTCACAGTATAGAGTCCAGTGACCTAAGGGGTAAGAGCCAGCCAAGTCCAGTTGTCTACCTAGAGACATTTGTGCAGTTAATTTTCCTTTCTTCCCAGCTGGAGAGCGCATCAGTGAGACACACATCTGTAGGTCTTATTTCTGTCATTTTGAAGAGGGCATTAAAAACAATTGACCATTGTTTGAATAAAGACGCATGGCAAGACTCAGATGTGTACACACCTGGAATGATGGAAGAATTTGTGCTTCTCTTCAGAGAATCCCTGAGCAAGGTAGGCACAGGTCCAGGTTTGGATTTTCACCAAGCATAGCAGGGAGATGGGCCATCCTGGGAATAAAGAGTGTGGGAGCCAAGAAATGTGTCCTCTAAGCTGCAGGATTGTAGAGGCCAGTGGGCATTGTCCTGGTACAGTGCTCAGGATCAGCTGATAAACTTTCACTTGTATGTCTCACTTAGAACAAGTCCTTGAGTGAGCTAAGAATCAGACTGCACTTGGTTTTGCATAGAAACAATGGATTTTGGTTCTGGTAAGACCTCATATCTCATTAGGCTGTATTGTGCCTCTGCCTGTGAGTGTACACACACTAACAGCACTGGTGCTCAAGTGAGAAGGGGATAGGTATCAGGAGCCCTTCTTGTTCCCTCCCATGACTAATTCTGCTAGTAAGGTGAGGCTCCTGCATACTGGCCAGCAGCACTGGGCACACAGTGGTGCATGGCCAGTTCCTGTAACTGCTTCCAAGAAGGGTTCCTTCTGCCCCATAGTTTGGTTTGGGTGAAGGAGTCTTAAAGGGTTTGCTTCCATGATCAACCTTTTTTTTTTGTCCCATTAAGACTTTAATGGGCATAGTTCTAGAACTTTACTGCAAAAGAGAGCTTACAGCCTGTTTTCAGTCCATCCTCTACTGCTTGTTACATTCCACTCACCTTCACCATGTGCTCATACAGGCCTGCTCCTCTGCCCTCTGTTTTTGCTTCCTGTTAGTTGGTTCAGTTGATTTATTTCTTTTTGTGTTTCATAGGACTGATTTCTTTTTTTCCTTTGCTTCTTTTTCTCATTTAGATTTTGCCAGATCTGAACACTGTTATTTGGGTCTGGCAATCACTTAAAAAGCAAGCGATCCAACAGGACGATGAGAATGGGACACAGAAAGGTAACAGGATTTGGGCTGCCTACAAGGCTGTCAGTGTGGTAAGGGCTTCATCAGCCCCTGCTCTTGTCCTGGGACAGAGATGACAGGCAACTATGGTGGCTCCTACACAGTGGCTTCTCAAACAGTTCTCTGTCCTCTAGCTCTGAAGAGATCTTGTGTCCTTTTGGGCGTAGGGAGAAGAATTAGATGGAGCTGTGGGTTGAATTTTAGTATGTTAGAAATATGCTCAGTTTTCATGTCAGCATCATGTGACTTAATCACCAAGTGTCATGTAAACAGATGAAGTGATATAGGGGGACGACTGTTGGTCACTCTGCAGATGGAGATGGGTTGCCAAATCCTTCTTGTGTTAAAATGTATCATTGGTCAGGCAATGGGTTTTCTGTATTTCAGTCTTAATTCTTACAGTAACACTACAAGGTTGATCCCTGTTGTGTGTCCCTATTGCTCAGATGAGGATGTGAAAGCCCAGGGACTTGGCCTTACCAAGGCTGCAACAGTAAAATGGGCTTAAGCCCAGGCCCTTGGAATAGTTTCAACCTATTAACACACTGGCACCTTACTTCTAGTTACTACCCTGTTTATAGCCTCAGTTTTCAGCATGCAAATGGCTGGGGTGTATCTGAGGTGGTCTGAATCCTCACCTGATCAGGGACAAAGGGGTAGTATGCTTGCTAATTCAGACCGTCTCCCTTTGGTGCAGACAACGCGGAAACCATTCTTCTGAAAGCTGTGGTGCTCCAGGTCATATGCCTCTACCAACAGGTGGTCCCCCACATGGTCATGCAGTACAACTTTGACTTCAGCAAGCTCCTAAGAGGTGGGTCTTAGGGATCACAGACAAGCTGCCGCTCCTTTCTGCCAGTGGGGATAAAAGAAGCTCCAGTAAACTAAAGCAGAGTCAGGAAGGGTGCTGGGGAGTTTACCAGCAGATATGATCCACCACCCTGATTAATTTTATTTATACCTGTATTTTCAAGTAACTGGGCTTCCATAAGTAAATATTAGGTGAACATTTAAGCTGGCAGTGAGAGTAGAGAAGGGTGAAGCCAACCAATTTGACTGAGCTGCTGGTTCCCAGACCAGGTCATGTGACACTTCCTGTAAAGCAGGGGTACAAAAAGGACAGCAGAAAGGAGAGCTCCATGGAAGGGACATGCTGTCCTGTTTAGGAGGGGCGCTTTGGGCCTAATTACCTCATATTTTACCCCAATGAGTCAGGGTCAAACCACCTCTCATCATGTTTGTCTGGACATGCATGTTTCCTTGATGGTCAAGTCTGTCTAATAAAATTGACTTTATATTTGGGCATACAGAAGATAACTTGCATAAATACCATCCTTGGAATTTATATAAGCTACTTAAATAATTATTTCCAAGAGCTGTAATTAGCGTGTTTGTCATTGAAGGGTAAAAGTTGTCTTTTCTGTAGGAATATTAAGTTTATAGAAGTGTGGCCATTTAGGACTCAGTAGCTGTGTCCTTCAGAAGCAAAGAAGAAATCCAGAGACCAGGCTAGAGAACAGGGGCCCAGTGTCAGGCTTGGTGGTTATAGTCTTTCTCCCCAAAATGTTAGTTTGGGTAGTAGGACCTGTGCCCTGCACAAGATTGTGGGGTACTGTAACATTAGTGAGCAAGGGACCATACTTAGAGGTGATGTGGTGTGGTGTGGTGTGGTGTGGTAATTCCAGTTGGTAGGACAAGGTTAGCACTGGCTAAGTGATAGGAGCTGTTTTGGGGCATATAGAATCTGGACTTTTTGTTGAAGGATTTAGATAGGCATGGGGTAGGAGAGATGTCAGGTGAGGTGTATATCTCACAGCCTGGGTGAGGGTGCACAGGACACAGGGAACAGACCTACTTCCTTCCTTTTTCTTCTCTGGTTCTCTGGGTCAAGATGTCAGTTTCTGAGCACCCTCCTCTGGGTAACCTTGTGTGTCCATTTTCCTTACCTCTCTGTTCAGGCATCATCTCTGAGCATGGCCATCTTGAGGAGGTCCCTCCCATCTTGCAGAATCACATGCTGAAGGTGGCTCTGGAACTGCCTGCCAACAAGTTTTTATGGTTAAAGACACAGGTAGGAAATGGACATCTCCAGGCCTTTGTTGCTGCTAACCTGCTGCACTCATTGGCTTTTCTCTTGACACTTTTACAGTTTGTCAGTTAGCACATATTTAGAAATAAAGTACATTACCTTTCCTTTGTTGTAATCCTGGAAGAACTCTAGATATAGATGGCAATAGCACCATGGCAGCAGACGGCCACAGCTGGCAGATGTGCCAGCAGACATTGATCCCAGTGTTGTGTGTCTTCAGTAGCATCTTCTAAGCCTCTTAGGAGAACATAATACCAGTTTGTAGAGGGAAGGTTCCAGAGACACTGGATGCTTACCTGTGTCTGCAGCCTCTGGATGCTGTTAATGCTATGCAATAGAAGAAATGACTAACTCAACTAAGATCTAAGTGTGCTTAGGAGTAGCTCAGATCATACAATGGCTCAAGTTTTAGGGAAGAATTTTTTTTTTTTATGGAACCCATAAGAAAATGTGAAGGAAATAGCAGGCTTTAAGAGATTAATTGATGGTCTATGCTCTACCCACCTTATGCTTCTAAGATGCATCTGCTAGCATGGTATGCTGGCCCAGGTTATCCCCAGTACTTTGTCATGTTCAGGGTCAGTTTCATTGCTAAGGGCTGTGACACATCACACAGACTTGATAGAGTGCAGGACAGGGACCTAGGGTTCTGTGCACATCTCTGAAGCATGTGTTCAAAGTCCAGGAGCCTTTTTAGAAGACATCCACTAAGTAATTGATTATGTTCAAATGGGTATCCTGATGAAGTATAACCAGTGCAGCCTTGATGAGGCAGACAGCCTAGGCCACTCCTCAGTACCCACAATGTCTGCACTAGAGCTTAGTTCCCAGAACATAGTTACCCTCTGAAGCCTTAGTTTCTACATGTATCAGTTAGGATAACAGCTATGCTACCTTCCAAATCAAAGGGAAGATTAAGTGAGCTGGTATACATCAAGAATCTAGAGCTGCAGGCTTGTGTTGTTGGGAGTTTGACTTAGTTACCTAACATGTAAGGTTTTCCATGTGTAAAATCCCAGTACTGTCAGTGAGCGGTAGTTAAAATGAGAAGGGCCTGGCAGAGTCTTGGGAGTGCAGTCACCTCTTTGCTCAGCAAATAGTAGCCCTTGTTATTACTATGTTAAGTATATACAAAAATTAGGTATGTAATTATACGTATTGACAATATGTAACAATGTTCAAATTAGGAAGGCCCCAACGCAGAAATTATTGGAGGAGAACGCTCAGTTTTTTACCTATTAATGAAGATGTTTGTGACCAGTAGCCATCTACAGCTTAAGTCATCTACCAAACTTCTGATCATAAAGGTCAGTGTCTCCTACCAGCTTCTAATTCTGATAAGCATTTACATGGGTCTTCCTTTTAGTAGGTGCTTCCTTAATTGTTGAAGTTAGAATGCATTAGGAATTTAGGAAATTTTATGTATTTTGGAATATAGTAAATTTTAAAAGTTTTATTTTCATATATCTGTTTATTTTGTGTCTCTGTGTGTATGTGTATGAACTCACGGATGCATGCCAGTGTGTATGGAGGTCAGTGGACAACTTGTGGGTTTTTTCCTTCCACTATGTTCTCTGTGAATTTATTTTACTTAAAAAAAATTTAAGGTTTTTTTTAACATGTATTTATTTTGTGTGTGTAGGGAAGGAGGATGCACATGTGCCATGGTGCACTTGTGGAAGTCAAGAGATCAATTTGCAGTAGTCCTCTTTTTCCACCATGTGGATTTCAGGAATTGAATACAAGGTCTTCGGCTTGGTAGCAAGTACATTTACTCACTGAGCGATCCTGCTGATCCAGAAATTTTAAAATTGGTTTCATGCTAGTTTAGGGAATTTTTTGTTTTGTTTTGTAGTACTAGGGATTGAACCTAGGGCCTCAAACATGGGAGAAAAGTGCTCTACCACTGAGCTACATCCCTAGCCTGAATCTCAAACCTAATAATATTCCTAAGAGGCAGTATGTTGCGGTGGTTAAAATCTTGGGCTTTCAAGTCTGGTTTCTAGACTTGAACCCATGTCCTGCTGCTTCCTGGTTGGCATTCGTTTCCCATGGTGAATGCAGAGAGGCAGGAGAGGTGAAATAGGCCAAATACTGAGTCGTGCCTATCACAGTATGGACCCTACATATATTCATGGGAAACTGTTTCATAGCTGTGCCTTGCTGAATTCTGGGCCTTCTGGCCTTTTGACCATGTCCACCCCCACAGCTCAGATGTCTCTGGAGTCAGTAGAGAGAGTGAGGACTTGACTCTTCTTTCTTGTGTGTGGTGCTCACTTTTCCTGGGCTGCATCAGGGCATGCTGTAGCAGTGAGGAATCCAGCACCTCTTTTATGCTGTAGACCTTGGGGAGGGAAGGAAGGGCTGCAGAAATCACATTTACCAGCTGGGCATGGTGATATATATTTGTAATCTATACTCTGTGATTTTGAGGCCAGATTTCAAAACTGCCTCAAAATAGCCAATAGAAATGACAGTCACTGCTTTTAGGGTACCAAGATGTGATCTTTCAATTTTCCTTGAGGGGCTAATGATGTTGCCTCATGCTTCTCACCTGAGTTGCTTGAGGTCGACCCTGTCTGAGCCCCATGTTGCCATTTCCTTACAGGTTATGCAGATGGGAACCCCACCTCAGCCAGATAATGTGACTGCTAACTGCTGAAGTGGCATTAATTAGGGGAGAAGGCGGGTCCAAACTGTGCAGGGCTCTGTGCCCTGAAGTCAGTTAGCCCCTGAGCTATTGGAGGATGTCACTAATTCAGCCCTACCATTTGAGAATCCTGCCTCAAACCTAGTTTGCTCTGGAGAAAACGGTGTGCTTTTCATCTGGGATTAAGTCCTGGAATGCTGTATCAGTATAGGATGGTGAGACTACTGAAGGTTGAGTCACTGTGAGGGGTCATCACACACAGGTTTCTGTGAAAGTCCAGATAGAAAACCAGCCCCCAAAGTAGCAGCAGATCTTTCTCCTTCTTATTGCAGATTGAGGAAAGGAGTAGTAAGCAGCAGCGAGAGAGGAGCACTGTTGTTCCCAGTGAGGCATAGAGTGATCTCTGTTCCCTGTGTGCTCAGCAGTGGGGTGCTGTTCTGAAAGAACAGCTTGCAGAGCCCAGCCCTTCACATCCTTTGGGCTCCTTTTAAGTCTGGCACAGCAATGTGAAACTGCTATAGCTCCACGGAAGGCAGGTTCTGTTCTGACCTTTCCATGACTCTGCTTGCCGACAGATTCTTCGAGATACAGGTGTGTTTGAGCACACCTGGAGGGAGCTGGAGCTCTGGCTGGAGCACCTGAATAGCATCACAGAAGAGCACAAAGAGACCGTCATTCAATTTCTGGAGCGTGTAAGTGTGCTTCTCCCATGTGAGTGTGCGTGCTCCCCAGTAATTGCACAATGGCTGTGTTGAGGCTTCCTTGATGCCCCCATGCAGAAGGGCTCCTCCTGTTCTGCCTCATTTTCTAATCCTGCTGAGACTCAGAACCCACTTAGTGCTAGCGTCTATGAAATAGAAATGTTCCTGCATGTCTTGTGAACTCATTTGGGGATTTTGTTTTTCTATGAGGGAATAAAACCATGTTAAAACACAGTGGAGTTGAGGAGACAATTTTTAAATGTGTAACAAAAAGGTTTTAAAAATATTTGCAGTAAAATCTTATTCTTAAGAGCAGTTAACATTTTCTCACTTCCTTTGATTTTGATCAATGGCATTTGGGCCTTTTTTTTTTTCTCTTTTTATTTGTTACCATTTAACTGTCTTCCATTTGCCTCTTTTATTCCAGATATTACTGACACTGGTGGCAAATCCTTACTCGTACACAGACAAAGCCTCTGACTTTGTCCAGGAAGCCAGCACACTGCAGTCCACTGCGATGAAGCAGGATGCAGATGATGTCAGCATTCCCATCTCCCATATTGATGGTAAGTTCCATGGCCTTCCAAACTGCTCAGTTCTAAAGCCCAAACCACAGTGGCAAGTTAGAGACAGAGCAAGCTTTGCACTGATACCTCAAGCTGAGTGCAGATGACACATTTCTTGATTTGAAAGATCATCCTACACTGGAGCTGAAGGGGGACTTACTTGTTTATGTACTGGGAAGTGTTTATAGAATTTACTTGTTAGGTTGTTTCTGTTTGTGCATTGTCTACTGTGTATCTGTCACTATTCTAAGCTTTTTAAAAATCTCATGAAACCTTGTTAATAGCTCTAAGGTAAGGAAGATAACTGCTGTCCTTTTTTATTTCTTTTTTCTTTTTTTGGGTCTTTTTGAAACAGGGTCTCCCTGTAGCTCCAGCTGTCCTGGAACTCACTATGTAGACCAGGCTGGCCTTGAACTCACAGAGATCCACCTGCCTCTGCCTCCTGAGTGTTGGGATTAAAGGCGTGCACTACCACACCCAGCACTGCTGTCCTTTTTTAATACTACTAAGAGAGCTGGGCACAGAGAGGTCAAGTAACTCAAGCTTCCACAGTTGCTTCCTAGCAGAGTCAAGATTTGAGCCCAGATGCCCTCACTCTGGTCTGTTATTAGCTCTCTAAGATTATGGCTTGTCTGCCTCAGTATCAAGGTAAAGTTTCTGGACTTTAGCTTACCACCTTAGCCGCAGAGCCTATATTTTGTCATACAAATATGGAGACAACTTCATAAGCAATGTCTTCATTTGTTCAGGGTCAGACTGTGTGAAGTGATTTCCTTCAAGATAAGGGTGAATTTTTTTCCTCTTTTTACAGATATCCTTTTGCCTCTCCTTGCCTTGGGTCTTTTGCAGGGAATCCTTTGGTGGCTCATACTTATACTGACCCCATCTTCTGTTTCAGATGTGCTCGACATGGTGGACGTCCTGGTGGAGGGCAGCGAGGGCTTGGATGAGGAAATTGGGTTCTTGTTAAATGAAGACATGATTCTACTCACGTTCCCCTTCAGTGCTGTGGTCCCTGCAGCCCTGGAAGCCAGGAATAAGCTGCTCCTTGGATCAGAAAATAAAGCAGGTACCTGCATATAGTCAGTATGTCTAGCTGTGTTGGGTCAGCTGGGTCTGCAGAGATTGGAGTTTAGGATGCCAGGGGCTCAGGAAGCCCTCGACTGAGAACCCAGACAACCAGAGGCCATATTCCTCAGAGTGATAGGTACTAGAGCGCAGAGCTCAGGGGTGGATATGGTGGCTGGCTAAGCTGCTGGGAAAGTGGTCCTTAAGGGATGAGTCTAGAAGAATGTGTTAGCATGGGTGCATGGATACCAGCTATCACTCTGAGGTTTTCTCTTCACCATGTAGTCCTGCTCTCTTGATAAGGATGAATATTGCCTATTTGCTGGGTTTCTCAGGCATCTTAGACTTGAGAAAGCACTCACAAATTACAGCAATGTGGTTAGTCTGGAGTGCTTAGGCTTTCCACTGTAACAAAGGAGCCCCACTTGTCAGTGGTTAAGAGTAAAGTTCTATTTCTTGACTTTGTTATAAGCCAGTACAAACTAGATGGCATTTGTGTCTATCTTCCAGGAGATGGCTCAGGGGTATAGGCTGTGCCCATTTCATAGCTGTGCTGTCTGACCATGTGGTTTCCAGGATCATTGGGGAAGGGGACCCTGTCATCCTAGAGTGGGTGATCAGTCAGGGAGTGTTGTGCCTGGAAGAGGCTCACCAGGGCATATGGTCACCCTACCTCAGGAGAGGCCTATGCACCAAGGTAGAGGAAGGGGCTGGAGAGCACCAGCAAGTTCTGGGCCCGGGTGGCTTTGGCCTTGCCATTTGCCTTGACCTATGTCAAGGTCTCCACTTACAGGACTCAGGATCTGATGCCTGAGCATATGCTGTCTGTGTATTGAAGTGGAGCCTGGATACACTACCTTCCAATGTGGGCATTTGACCCCTGTTAGAGTTGGCATGAATTTTCCTGGGTCTTGTATATGTGGGAGAAGGCCATGTCAGTGACTCACGGAAGGGTGTTTCCAGCAGGGTTCCCTCCAGTCTCCAGCTCACCTCTCTTTTTTTTGCAGGGGAAAGCATTGTGGCATATCTGACTGTGGTTCTAACTGATCTTCTTCACACCCAGAGGGACCCCCTGGCTCTCTGTCTTCTGCTCCAGGCTTATGACAAGTTTGAGCCTCCAGGCCCATCTTGCCACCACCAGCTTTCCCAGTTTCACAGATACTACAGCCTCTGGATCCCTGAGCAAGCCCGGGAACCCTGGGTGAGCCATACTCACTGCTCCCATGGAGTGTTTCTTTCCAGGGCTACAGCTGGATGTGCAGCTGGGAGGCCCAGATTCCATACAGCTTCAGAGAGATTATTTAACCTTCCCATTTCCTCTGCATAAGAGAGGGCCATCAGCCATATTACCGCTGCTCAGCTGATGTGAATGGAGCACAAGGGAGCCAGTGGTGCAGCAGAATTAAATTTTCCATCTGCTTCCTAATGAAGATAATTGAATAACTACTGTTGGGACAGGAGGTGGTCTGTTCCTTTTTTTCTTCTGTCAAGTGTTTTGGAATGCTTATCTCAGCTCTCTTTTACAAACTGTAATGTGCTCAATTGACAGAGCTGCCCCCTCAATGTCATCCCCCCCCCCGCGCCAGTGGGCTCCACCTTGCTAAAACTGGGAAAGTATATGGGGGAAGGGAGTTCTCTCCCTGATGTAATGTGTATCTAAAAGCTGGTGGGGTAGAAGGTTAACCTTGCTGTGTGAATTGTGTGGATTCACTCCATTTCAACTGCGCTTAAGAAAACAGATAGTGTGGGACCATTGTGTCATGATGGTAGCCACACTGATAGTGTTCTTTGTCTGTTGGAGCTAGGTGTGCCATATAAGTCATTCAGTCCCCCCACCAGCCCTGAGAGGTAGGTCAAGGTTCTCCTCAGCCTTTATATGCACAGGGAAACTGAGATGCAGAGTGCTTCCAAGTGCTTCTGTCAGTGGTGGAGCACAATTTTTTCCGTGCAGTTTGGCTCTGGAGCTTATGCCCAGAAGAACCATTGCCACCTTCCTCTGCACAGAGATCAAGGTCATAACCAGACAGTAGTTCAGTTCAGTGGTGTTCCTCCTAGGTACTAAAGTGTTGGTGTCCAGCTGAGGATTAACCCTTCATGGTGTTGGGAACTTGTTCAAACCCAGCTGTCAGACCCTGTCTTCAGTATAACCCCAGCAGGTATGGGGTGGGGCCTGAGAACTGAAATTTGTCACACTGTCCCAAGTGATGCTGCTACTAATACTGATCCTAGGTCTGTGCTTTGAAAACCACTGAGCTCAGAACATGAGTATTCCTTGAGGTCCTTAGTCTAAGGAAGCATTTGAAGTTATTATATATCCTATGGGGTAGGTAAAGAAAGCAGTTTGGAGATTATAAGAAATGAACAACTTCTATTTAAAGTAGGTCTGCTCTAGAAATTTCTCTTCGTTTTACCCATTATTTTCCAATCCTTTTGACCAAATGTTCTGACCAAGGCTCCTGGGGTGGCAGGTAGCTCACGGTGGGGACTTTGCTATGGGCTGTGGTACCCATTTTCTAGAGATTTGTCCTGGTAACACCTCTGATTAAGTCCCATCTCTGTGGCAGTGGCTCCTCATGGCAGAGACTCTTCACACTTAACCTCATGCGTAGGTGCCTTTACATTCTGTCAGCGAAAACACACTTTAGGATGGCACGTGAGGCCATAGTGTGGGAGCTGAGTTTACTTGAGTATAGTGTCACATAGCGCTCCATGCTTTAGTTTTTACCTGTTCACCATGAAATGCCTTTTGTTACATCACTCCAGTCAACACCAGCCTGTGTAGCCTTTGCTTCTTTTCCCTTCTTTTTTTGTCCCTCAGCCACTGCAGATACCCAGTAGCCTTGCACTGCATGTTCCCCCCTCGGCCTCCTGCTTCTCCACCATGCTGCAGACAGCCTATGAGAATCACACACTTGGGGACAAGCACATTCAGATGCAGCTGGTAGCTGCTGTCCCATGCCTCTCCCTGCACCAGGTCCTACGCTCAGCCAAGCAGGTGCTGCTCTACCTCAGGAGCACTGTGGACACCTTCGGCCAGGTCAGTGCTTTTCTACTCCCAACCCTCCACCTTCAGAGAATGTGGCCTTCTCTGAGCTTGGGCCATAGTAAGGGATAGGTGCTCTGACAAGCCAGAAGGCAGGCCTCGGCTCAAGAATCTGGACTCTCAACTCTGCAACTCCTATGCTGACTGTCTCTGGAGCAACTGTGCAGAGGCAGCAGTGTGCTTCTGTCTGGGTCTCAGGAAGAGCAGGGCCACTCCTGTGGCAGACCAGAGAACAGCAACGTGGCCAGGCCTCACTCTTTCATAGTTTCTGAATTCAGTAACTCACTGGTGAGCTCTTCTTCCTGTGGTTTATAGATCTCTAGTTTAGATTTTGTCTTTGGCCTGTTCCCCTTATTTAAAAATTTTTTTATTACATTTATTTATTTATTTATGTGCCTGCCTGCGTGTGTGTATATGTGTGCATACATGCTACAGTGTGCATGTGGGAGCCAGAGGACAGCTGGTAGGAGTTGGTTCTCTACTTCTACCATGTGGATCTCAGGGATTGAACTCAAGTCATCAGGCTTGAAGGCAAGTGCCTTTACCCATCTTGCTGGCCCCTGTTCCCTTTATTTTAGCCAAAGTAAACATTTATATTTCACTGGAGGATGGATGTTTCTTATTCCATGTTCCCCTAAAGGTATTAAGTATATATCTGAGCACTCTTTGTTCTACAACTGGGGCATTTTGGTGAAGAATGGATGGAAGGGGATATTGCCTCATAGTTCTAGAGGAAGATAAGCCCCACGTGAGAGAAACTTACATTTATATCCAGAAAACTGGATATAAAGAAGACCTTGCCATCTCTGCTGTCCCCTTCAGGCTCCGCCTCTGATTCCAGAGGGGCCTGGTAGTCCCTTGTCTGGTAACTGGTCATCCCTTCCTGTGTCTCATCCTCACAGCTGGGCAAAAGTGTGGGACCTGCCCACCTGCATCTTCTCCTGGATCTCCTCAAGCACCTGGTTGTCCACTGTGAGCAGCTAGATGCCCAGAATCAACAGAAGTTGGAGTCTGCCCGTGGCAGGTCTGACCTCTTTTTGGACATGGAATCTGTGGCCTCACTGGAGTTGGCCAATGACCAGGTACCAACACCTTCTTTTACAGACAACCCGTTAGCTTTTTTCTACAAGGTTACAAATAGTGGCTTTCTGTCCACTTCTGATTTTTAAAATGTGTTCACTGTAGCAAATTAGAGATATGTACAAAACTGAAGCAAAGATTCTGAAAGCCATCTATAACCCCCACCCAGGGGTAACGTGGCTTGATCTGGGTGTCATCTTTCCAGTCACTCCCCTGCAGGCATGCTACCTTTACTGGCAGCTTTTGCTTGTACCTGTGCCCTGGGCCTCTTGGGAGGGTCAGGGTGAGGATCAGGTACCTATGGCCCAAGCTGATTGTGGCACATGTGCACAGCAGGAGCCTCACTCCTGTCACTAGTTTCGTGCTTCGCTGGGCCCGGTGGCTATTTCTTTTGTGGTGTGCCATATAGCTGCGTTGCTGAGCTCAGGAGAAGAGTATGTTCTCATTTTGTCATTGAAATAAACAGCTTCCTCCTTGATCTCCACATTGACTTTCTGGGAGGTGTGTCTTCTGTTTCTGGCTGAGAAAGCTTTATTGGGAAGGGTGATAGGGGCACCTTTGCTTCCCTTATAGGTAAGCAAGGTAAGAAACTCATTTGTGTCCCTGGGGACTGGGGGACCATCCTTTCAGGAATCATGTGTAAGCACCCAGATTTCATCATTCCATGACTTGCCCACAGGACTGTTTTCTGATCAGTGCTTTGTGCTTTGAACTCATCCAGAACTTGTTTCTTGAGAGTACTTGAGACCCAGTCTTCTTCTGAAAGTGAAAATAGGGTTAACTTCAGTTCATAACTGTGGCTCAGTTCCAGTCCAATTTCCCTACAGTCTAAGCTGTGACCACTCTGTTCCTTGGTTAGGAGATACCCATGTCCCTCTACCATATCTTTTTAGGAGGGCAAAACCACCAAAGGGCACTAGCAGTTCACAGCTCTTAATCATACATGCTGCTTCTGTGTGGCCATCCCCTGCACTGAGTGACTGGGGAGGGCAGTTTTGCCACATACGTCCATTCCACTGGATTAATCAGACATGCTGGTGACTCTGGGTGGGCACAAGCCACCCCAGGCTGGTTGTCATGGTATGACACAGGGCGTATAGGAAGAGGAGGTGTGATAGGAGGTAGCATGCATTCTAGCAGGGCTATAGTGTTCTGACAGGGTAAGAGTCAGGATGCTGCAAGCTCACCTGAGCGGGGCATTGAAACTCAGATGAGGATGGAGCCAGGTTGCAAAAGCACTTCCTTCTCTGTTTCACTGAGAACAAATGCTTTCTAGCAGCTGTGGCTTCCCTTGGCCCTGTGTCACATATGAAATCTGTCCCTGATCTTGTTTTTCAGACGGTGGAGGAAGTGCTGGTAGCCATCCTTAAACATCCCACACTGGAGAATTGGTTTCTGGCTCTGGAGCGTCAGGCCTTGCCCCCGCACATGCTCAATCCCATCCTTGTGAAGCTTCTGGCAGCCCACTTCAGTGCTGGGGTCCTTCAGCTACTGGTAGCAAGTGCCCCAATTCTCTGTAAGCTGGGTCAGCTGGGCCTTCTGTCCAAGTACTCGGAGGCCATCACCCAAACTGTGTTGAGAGAACTGCGAACCATGACTGTGGGCCCTGCCACATCACCACCTAAGACCCTTCCTCAACTGGAGGCTTTGCGGGAACTGTTTCCATACATGGAAGGCTCCAAGCTCTGTGAGGTCATCCTGGCCCTGCTGGGCCTACCAAAGGCCCACCTGCTGACCCAGAGAGCCACAAAGCATCTGAAGAAGGAGAGACAACTTAGCAGTCTTGGGAAAACCCTGGTGCAGCTACTGGCAAGTAGCCCCCAGGATCAGCTGCATCAGAACAGTGAGCTTCTCTGGTGCGCTGAGTATGTGAGAGGCCTGGGGGCTCTGCTCCCCACTCTGACCGACAATGAACTGGACACTGCATTCCTCCAAACTCTGCAGAAAAACCCTATGCTGGCTCCCGTGGCCCCAGCTGACCTTTTCGATTACTGCTTGGCCCGGCAGACGAAGTCAACTCTGGGCATTGCCAGCCTGCTCCTTCAGCATAGCTGCACCCACCTGCTGAAGTTTGAGCTGTGGTGTGGACAGTCCAGCATGGTGCTCAGCCTACAGAAGGACCTAGATGACTTCCTCCCCCTCATCCATGTGTATCTCCAGCACAGGATAGAAAAACACTTCATGTGGCCAACAGGAGGTATTGTAGGGGCTGGCTTTGGGCTCCTGGGAATTTCTGACTGAAGGGGCTAAGGAAGTGAATGGCTTACCATTCTTAAACCCTGCCACTTTGTGGTCTGGGGTATGATATAGATCAGTTCCTCATTTAGCACCTGAAGCTCTGAAGGCTGAAAAAGGGAGAATTTGCCACACCCCACCCTGACTTTTCAATCTTATAAATTGAGATGTAGCCCCAGCTACCCATCTGGTCCTAGTTGGTGAACAAGGTAGGGTGGGCAGTTTCTGATGGAGGAGTCACTGGGGGCTAAACTGATCTTTGTCCCATTACAGGCTCCCCACCCTCAGGGGAGATGGTAAGTATACTGAGTTCAAGCAGCTTGGGCCCAACTCTTTCTATCTGCTGAGCATCATTACTGACACTGATTACCCTCATTCCTTTGTAGTAAACACGGGAATGGTTTTCCCCCCACTGCTTTACCTCAGATTGATGTAACTTTGTGTCAGTGGTGACAGATAATTTCTAAAGGAAGGCAGCCTCTCTCCATAGGTTCCCTCCACTGTGCACGATAAACCTCTGCTTTGTATCTGTCCCTAGTGTCCTCCTCTGTAGTTCCTGTCTTGAGGAAGGCCCTGTGGAAACAGCTGTGGGACAGGCTTCTAAGTACTAATTGGCCCCCAGAACCTGGGCTGCATCAGGAGGTTCTGGCCCAGCTAGTTCCATTTGCAAGAGCCAAAGATCTCCGTGTGCTCATGGACCATTTGCCCAGCTTGCTTTGGACTCCAAGTAGTCACAAGAGGTATGAAGGTCAAAGTCATTGGATGGTATTTCCTTTCTCAGCATCACTTTTCTCTTTAGTATTTATAAACAAAGTTAGTGAGAAGCATCCTTATTCCTGTTGTGCTGGTAGGTGTGACACCTATTCTGACCAGAGCTCTTCTTCCTGCCATCATGGTTGAAGTGCATCTCTGTACATGGGCAAGAGTAGTAGTTCTGAATTGGGATGACTTCCCCCAGGAGATGCTTGGCAGTATCTAACATATTCCATCATCACAGCTTTGGTGAGGAAATATGGTTTTTGGCCTCCTGGGGGTAGAGGGGACAGGAGTGCTTCTAAATATGTTGTAATACATAGGGCAGCCTTCCAAAGAAAGTACCAGTCCCCAGATATCACTAGTGCCGTTGTGGGGAGACCTTGGTCTAGATAGTCTGGGCAGACTTATTCTTTATCTGGTATCCTGATACCACTGACTGTGTGAACATCTTGGAGCCTCTCCAGTGTTCTAGTAAGAGTGGTCCCAGAGTGGATGGTAGGGGAAGCAGGCCTCAGGGCATCTGTCCCACACAGCCCTAAGCAGTGTTGTAACTTTGCCACCCTGATGTCTTGCTACAGTTGGATCGTAGCCGACTCTGTCTCAGCAGCCTTGGAGGAATCGGCAGGAGAGCTGAATGCTTGGAGGAAGACCCTCCTGGGGTGCTGTGTGCAGTGGCTGGTTGTGTCCTTCAGTGGTAGCCAGCCCGGACAGGCTAGCACCCAGGATCAAGAGAAGCAGATGCTGCTCCGATTAAGCGAGTTGTTGGTAGGTGTCTTTTCTCAGAGATTCTGGTTACCTTCTGAGAGACAGCAAGCTAGACAAATGTGACCTTAGGGAGTGAGAGGAGCTATATCTATGGACAGAGTGGCAGAGAAGGAGGGATGCTGAATTTTGTCAGGTTTTTTTTTTTCTTTTTCATCTGCTGAGATGTTATTAGAAGGGCTCATTTTTTTTCTTAGTCCGTTAATTTTATTAATTAATGTTAAACTAGCCTTGTATTCCATTCCTGAGATAAACTGACTTGATCATGATGTATGATCCTTTATAAATATTGTTGGACTTGATTTGTTAATACAGATTCTGTTAGGAGTTTTTGCTTCTGTGTGCATAAGGGATGTTCATTTCTAATTTCCCGTAATGTCTTTGAATTGGGTAATTCTGGATTCATAGGGGAAATTGAGAAGAATTTGACAAGTTTCATCAAAATTCTAGGCTGACAGTTTAAATTTTCCGTATTTTGAAAATACTGATATATGTCTTCCAGACTGCTTTTGTTTCCAGTAAGAAATCTGTCATCCTAACCTTTGCTCATAAGTATTCTGTGCGTAGGTGTATGGGTGTGTGGTCCATCATATGTGTCGTGTGTGTCACCCCCACCCCTTGTGCCTAACTGACTTTTTTTAAAATGTGGATTAAAGCAATGTGCTTATGATGTAGCTTAGTGTGAGTTTGTGCTTCCCTCTCCTCCCAAGAAGTTTCTTATTCATTGGGTTTAGGAAGCTGCTTGGTCTATGGCTTGACAGTTGTATAAAATTTAGAAATATTCTACCATTCTTTTCTATTAAAGTGTCCCTTTATTTTGCATATTTACTCATTCACCATTTTTCTGTATAGACCCAAATTTCCACTTTATAGTATTAAGAACGTATCTTTTTTTCACTGATCTATAATTCTTTTTTTAAAAAATAATTTATTTTATTTAAAAAATAATTTATTGAGACTTTCATATATGCATATAAGGTGTTTTGATCAAGTCCATGCCCACTCTCTTCCCTCCAACTGCCCCTGTATCTCCCCATCACTTTTTTCTGATAACTTCATGTACTCTTTCTTCATTTATTTTATTTTATTTATTTATTTATTTATTTATTTATTTTAATGTTAACCCTAAAATCTTTTAAGGATTAGATAAAAGCCAGTCCTTGACTGGTGAATAGGAGATGTGAAGGAGAAGTAAAGGCATTATAGGTTCTAGACAGGGAACTAGAAAAAAGTCAGAACAGGGCAATTTTCAAATGTTCAAATGAGAGTCCATTGGAATTTCTTGACAAGCGCTTCCAAAAGCATCCCTCTATTGGGTTCCTCCTCATTTTTCTTTTGTCTGCCAAGGATGGACTCTAGAGTGATGGATTCAGAATTTGTTTTCATGTATTTTTGATAGCTGTTGGAGTGGTTAGAATCAGTGTCAGTTCCCTCTCAAAGGCTTCTAGATAGGGGAAGAAAACAAATTTATCCATCATTTTAGAACAATAGCTGGTTGTCTCCCTTAGCTATAGGTGGGCACTACAGTATTGCAGACCAAGATTTGAAGTCTTACATCTGAGCAGCACTTTCTGATTAGTAACAAAATCATCAATGAGAAATAATTGTCTAAATAACATTTTATATGGACTTAAGCCTAATGTCTGGGAAGTGTAATCCCTTGAACTCTTAAAGAAATATACCGATTACTTTACTCTTTGGTTGTACTTTCCTTTTGGGTTAAGACTGTACAGTTGGCCCATATAAATCAATTTGATTTTACACTTAAGGTCAATTGAGGATCTGTTCCTCAGGGGTCACATGGGCTTGGTAGGCGCCTCTGGCACCTTTCTTTTACCAGTTCCATCTGTGTGAAGATAAGTCAAAGGTCCTTCTCGACCATGTCAGGCTTTACTTGGAAGCATGGATGAGATGTTTTCTCTGAGTTGACCCTCCTCTTTGTAGACTGGATACTGGTTCAAGTCCATCTTGTGGGGTCTCCATGGCCTCTCTGAACAAAAGGACAGGTGACTCAGCACAGTTACAGGACATTTTGAGAGATGGTCCATTGTCCCCTGGAAATTAGTCGATCTTGGGGGGCAAGGGGCAAAAACTGTCCTTTAAGACCCTCTAACCAGATTAGTATAGGCCTCAAACTATGTCTGTTAAACATCCAATAAGGTAAGTTCCACCAGTCTGGTACTTTTAATTACCATGTGCTATGTAGATAAAGCTTGGATAAAAAAACAAATATTCTCAGATAAACATTTACTAGATACATATTTTGCTCCTTAAACTAGTTGACTAAACTATGACCTTAGAAATTTTAAGATCATGTGTATATTTTTTGTCTCATCCCTTTATATCATAACAAACCTACACAGACCTTCATCACTTGCTTAGGCGTTCTCAGTTTTGCTATTTTGGAAA